GACCTTCGACGTAAAGCTCGCTGTGATTTTATTTTTAAACATTTTTTTTTAAATTTTTTTTTTCAACGTTTATTTTTTTGGGACAGAGAGAGACAGAGCATGAATGGGGGAGGGGCAGAGAGAGAGGGAGACACAGAATCGGAAACAGGCTCCAGGCTCTGAGCCATCAGCCCAGAGCCCGACGCGGGGCTCGAACTCACAGACCGCGAGATCGTGACCTGGCTGAAGCCGGACACCCAACCGACTGCGCCACCCAGGCGCCCCTGTGATTTTATTTTTAAACGCGCCCTCATCGCCTGCGAAGGAAGCCGAGCTCCGAAGGGGCCTTCCTGCCCCCCGCTGCCTGGAGGCAGCATCTCGCCACTTGGCCCGGCGGGAGACCACACTCCGCTTGCCGATGGGCCGTCCCGGCCGGCTTCTCACCGCGGACGGGAAATGACGACCGCCCTGGGACGTGAGGTCGGGACGCCTCCCTCCCCGGTCCTGGGCAAACCTGAGGTTCTCGGCCGACAGCTCCCCACGTGTCACATGGGTCTCCGCCCAGGAGTGGTCAGCCTGTCGCCCTGCCCCCCCTCCCCCGGCTACCCGCGTGCACGCGGGGCCGTCCTCCCGCTGCAGGGACATTTTGTCCGGTGTGGGCGCAGTGCTGGGTCATCTCCCGGGTCACGCAGGGCTCAGGGGCACGCAGGCTGGTGGCTCTCAGGCTCTGAGACAGCCACCTTCCGGAGGCTTGTTTCAGTCCCACCGGAACGAGTTTGGAACAAATTCCAATCGTGGTTAGCGGTATGAGCACTAGATTTTGTTAGATTGTTAGTATTTTTCTCCTAAAATTACTTCTTTGTAAGTAGACTTTCAAATCTAAGTTTTAAGATTTTTTTTTTTTTTTACACCATTTCATACATCAGATTTCACGAGCCACCCCAGGCCCTGCCACCTGCCTCCCCTCGACTCGTGACACGGCCGTGAGATCATTTCCATTTGCACGTTCACCCTTCCCACAGAAGGCTCCCTAGGGTGGGGGCCTACCTTCCTGCCTCGGGGAGCATCTCCTTCTGTGGACATGCCTCAGTTTACCTACCGCTGGAGCCAGGATGTTTAGGTCATTTCTGGGTTTGGGTGATTTCGATTAAGGCCTGTCTGAGCACCTGCGTCCGGGTCTCTGCATGAACTGTGTTCTCTCTCGGTTAAGCCCCAGGGAGTGGGTGCTGCCATTCTCTCTGTCTGTCTCTCGCTCTCTTTCTGTCTCTCAGTCTGTGTGTGTCTCTCTCTGTGTCTCTATCTTTCTGTGTCTGTCTCAGTCTCTCTCTGTCTCTGTTTCTCTGTGTCTCTGTCTCTCAGTCTTTGTGTTTCTCAGTCTGTCTCTGTGTCTCTCTCTTCTCTGTCTCTGTTTCTCTGTGTCTCTGTCTCTCAATCTCTCTGTGTCTCAGTCTCTTTCTGTCTCTGTCTCCGTGTCTTTCTCTATCTCAGTCTGTCTCTCTCTCTCTCTCTCTGTTTCTCTCAGTCTCTTTTTCTCTCTCTCTCTGTCTCCGTGTCTCTCTGTCTCTGGGTGTCTCTCTGTGTCTTCTCTCTCTCTGTCTCTGTTTCTCTGTGTCTCTGTCTCAGTCTTTGTGTTTCTCAGTCTCTGTCTCTGTGTCTCTTCTCTGTCTCTGTTTCTCTGTGTCTCTGTCTCTCAATCTCTCTGTGTCTCTCTCAGTCTCTTTCTGTCTCTGTCTCCGTCTTTCTCTATCTCTCTCAGTCTGTCTCTCTCTCTCTCTGTCTCTGTGTCTCTCTGTCTCTGGGTGTCTCTCTGTGTCTTCTCTCTCTCTCTCTCTGTTTCTCTGTCTCTCTGTCTCTCAGCTGCGTGTCTGCGTCCCACCTGCAGGGGGCAGGTCGCTGTTGGTCTTGGTCAGCACACGCCGTGGCATTGGGTCTGCTGTTCGGCCGTCCTCATGGGCGTGTCGTGGCTCTAATCTGACTTCAGCATCTGTCGTGCACTCACGCCCCGTGCTCATCCACGCGTCTTCTTGGGTCGAGTGCTCAGATCTGTTGTCCGGGTTAAATTGGGTTGTTTGTTGTCTTACTGTCGAGTTGTGAGGATTCCTCATGCGTTCTGGGCACGGGCCTCTGTCGGCTCTGTGTCCTGCGCCCCTTCTCTCTGGCCGGACTGCCTTTGGAGTCCCCAGCTTGCCCGCGGCCCTGGCGGGGCCTGCTCCGCTCACTCTGACTCGCAGAAGGAGACCCCCTGCTGCTCACGGGCCTCTTGCTGTCCCTGACACCGTGCTTCCGTGAGCGGACGGACGGATTTGAGGAGGTGCACAGCTCACTGCCGAGGGACCTGCTTCCTGTCACATCGGGGTTCGGGCCAGGTGCGCGTAGCATGGGCCGTGCTCGTCACCACACGGTTTGCCATTAGCTTGACAAACGCAAGTGACCTGTTGCAGCACAGAAATAAATCTCCACTTTTAGAACCCAGCTACGTCCCGGAGTGAGCCGCTCGCTGAACCAAGAAGTGCAGGTTCGTGCTTGCAAAGGACGTGCCCATCCGTCGCGCCCTCGAACCGTGGGTTCCGGAGTCCCTTCTCCCGGAAACTTTCCTCCTGTGAACACTGCTGTCCTTGGTGCCGCTTGAGCGAAGAGGAAAGCATTTCCTCGTGACGGTGACTGGCTTGCCAGACCTTTTGACGCAAGAGAGAACAGACTTGGTTTTTCCCCAGCTTAGCAATAAGTAGAGTTCCGTTTGAATAAACACCGTTGTAACGTGAGCGCTTTCACGGTGACGCCCTTCAGGGTTTTCGTGTTCTTTGCAGAGCTCAGACCTGCTCTGCTTGCCTGTTTCGTCCAGGTATCTGGAGAGGTGGCAGTGGTCAGGAAAGTCTCATTGTGCGGAGGAGAGATGGGCGGGCATGGGGGGCGGGGGCGGGTTTGCACCGTGTGCAACCAAGCGAGGGTCCGTGGCGCACAGCACAGCCACTGGGAGCCTTGGGTGCTGGGGAGCAGGGGCTCCGGGACACGGGCAGGGTCCCACTGCCCAGAAGGCTGGGCGAACCTGGTTTTCTCCTTATCAGAGGTGAGGCGCCCAGGCCCAAAGCAGGGAGCGGCTGGTCCACGGGCAGGGAGTCAGGACCGGCACCCGCCTGAGCCAGGTTGGGGCTTAGGACACGGGTGTGTGTCCTTGGTGACCCTCCCCAGCCTTCCCGCTGACCGCCGCCCCCTGCACTTCTTGAGGAGGGACGGTCTCTGGTCGACTCTGAGCCGCGTCCACGGGAACCTCGTGCAGAAGCCCGAGTGTCACCCTGCCTGTTTGTGGTGCCTCATAAACCCACACGCGTTCGGGGCAGACCCGGCAGCACACTTAGATACGCGCTTTAAAAAGCCGCTGAGCTGTTTTTCCGCCCACAATTAAATTGCGCTTTGCCTGATGGTGCAAAGACTAAGCAGACTTAACGTTCTGCGTGCTTCTGGCCCAGCTTAGTCAAGGCTTTGTGTCGACCCCTCCTTGAGTTAAAACTCCAGCACGGTGGGGGGGCGCTCTGCCCATTTGCAGACCGCGCCCCTCCCTCCCCCAGGATGGGTCTTGGCTGCTGCGTCTGCACCAGGGGCATCACCCACAGGCCTGGCAGCCCCCGGGCACCCACCCAGCTCAATGATAAAGCCCCAGGTCAGCTGGTGTGAAAAACGACCTCGGGATGAATCAAGGACACCTACAGGGAAGACAGAACACCTGCGCTGTGAGCCAGGATTT